CAATGGTCCATGGGGTGGCAGAGTTGGACATGACCGAAGCAACTGAGCAGGCATGCATATATGTGTGTATATCATGTGTGTGTGTATGTGCACATAAATATACTGGGATCACTTTGCTGTACACCTGTAAATAAAAAAACAAAAAATGAGTTATGGATACACTATAATGGAATACTATATGGCAATGAATTGAGAATGGACTATACATCACTTTATGGCAAATAGACGGGGAAACAGTGGAAACAGTGGCTGACTTTATTTTTCTGGGCTCCAAAATCACTGCAGATGGTGATTTCAGCCATGAAATTAAAAGGCATTTACTAAAATAAAATAAAATAAAAGACGCTTACTCCTTGGAAGGATAGTTATGACCAACCTAGATAGCATATTAAAAAGCAGAAACATTAGTTTTTCAACAAAGGTCCGTCTAGTCAAGGCTATGGTTTTTCCAGTGGTCATGTATGGATGTGAGAGTTAGACTATAAAGAAAGCTGAGCATTGAAGAATTGATGCTTTTGAACTGTGTTGTTGGAGAAGACTCTTGAGAGTCCCTTGGACTGCAAGGAGATCCAACCAGTCCATCCTAAAGGAGATCAGTCCTGGGCGTTCATTGGAAGGACTGATGCTGAAGCTGAGACGCCAGTACTTTGGCCACCTCATGCGAAGAGCTGAAAAGACCCTGATGCTGGGAAAGATTGAAGGCAGGAGGAGAAGGGGATGACAGAGGATGAGACGGTTGGATGGCATCACTGACTCAATGGACATGAGTTTCAGTAAACTCTGGGAGTTGGTGATGGTTAGGGAGGCCTGGCGTGCTGCGATTCATGGGGTCGCAAAGAGTCGGATACGACTGAGCGACTGAACTGAACTGAACTGAACTGAACTGAACTGAACTGAATCAGACTATAATACTTAAAAGCGAGGAGGGACTTTCCTGGTGGTCCAGTGGTTAAGACTCTGTGCTCCCAGTGCAGGGGTCATGGGTTCAATCCCTGGTTGGTGAACTAAGATCCCCCATGCTTGGTGGGGCCTGGGGGAAAAAAAAAAAGAATAACAGAAGTCACAATAGTGGTTATGCTAGCCGAGAAGGAGGGGATATGATCTGGCAAAAGACACACCAGAGAAAGGGCTTCTGAGGTGCTGGTAGAGTTGTTTTTACAATAATGTGTTACCATGTATTTATGCTGTTAGCACTTTTCTGTATGCTTGTTATATTTCACACATACACATGTTTTAAAAGAGAAAGTGGGGAGGACAGCACCTGGGCTTTGGAACCAAATGAGGAAGCTACTTACTAGCTGTTCTGACTTTGAATGTATTACAGAAGGGGCAAAAGGATACAAGACCCCTCTTGGTGGTGGTGGTGGTTTAGTTGCTAAGTAGGGTCTAGGACTCTTTACACACCATGGACTATAGCCTGCCAGGCTCCTCTGTCCATGGGATTCTCCAGGAAAGAATACTGGAGTGGTTTGCCATTTCCTTCTCCAGGAAGACCCTTCTTAGAGAAAGAATATATGAAACAAAAAGTGCAAATCGCCCTTTAAGAAAGGAATTAGTCTTTAATTGAAGGGGAACTGAAAAAAAAGATACTGGAATATAAAAGACTTTTATTTATGCAGGTGCTGTGCTATAAAATATTTTAGTTTGTGTTGATAATGAAACTGGATTTACAGCCTTGTAAACCAAACAAAGAGCTTATGTTTAGTTGATTAAGCAGTTGAGGTTAAAATTTACTCTACTTAACTTTTTTTCATGTTTTTTTCTATTCAATGTAAAAAGGTATTGGCTCTCTTACTGTGAAATTGCTCTAACACAAGTCTGTCTTTACCAATTTGAAAGGCAAACTTCTATCTTTGTGAAATTTGCTCCATACAACTGGGAGAAGTTCTAATGATGGTGATAATAGCTTGTACAAAGAGTTCCAATTAGGAACCAAGCAATTCTTTAGGCAGTTTGTAGTTGCTAAAATATTTTGACATGACATTATCATCCTTTGATGACTTCCTTATTTTGTGATACAAGAACATATTTCAGGGTCATCTGGAATTTTCCCAGCTTGAACCCTGAAGCCTTGGTCATTTTTCCAAGGTGAACTGGCTTCTTTAAACAGAGAATGCTATCTAGAAGCCAAGATCTAGGCTTCCTTATTGCTACTGGTGTATCATTGTTTTTAGGCCCTCTCAGCAGTCAGGATTGGGAAACACATAGGATCAGGAAACACAGACACACACTTTTATATCTATCTTTATGTTTAAAACATATTTATTCTGATGTGTCTGGTCTTAGCTGTGGCACACGAGATCTTCGTTGCGGTGTGAGGGTTCTTTAGTCATGGCACAAGGGCTTCATGGCCCCATGGCAAATGGGATCTTAGTTCCCCAACCAGGGGATCCTTGCACTGGAAGAACGATTCTTAACCACTGGACCACTCTATCTCTATTAAATACAACGAATTCATACTGATACTCTCAGTTCCAATCCAACAGCAAAAAAACTTTTTCAAGCTTTTTCCATGTTTGTAACTCCCTGCTCCAGCATTGAGAAATCTATTTTTAATCATTTTGAGTATAACTAAATTTATATTGAGTGTACTGCTGAGGTTTTTTTGTAGTGATGTTTCTAAAAAAATTTTTTTTCCCACTTGTTTTGGTCTTTTTTTCTCCAAAAACTATAAAAACTCCAGAGTCTTTATTTTATTCATTCAACCAACATCTATTCATCAAGCAAACACTATGTGTCACATAAGGTTCTAGGGCCGGGGATACAGCAGTGAGCAAAGCATCATGTTGGGAGAGGAACCGTGGAAAGAGAGTAACAGATAAAAACTAGGAAAAAGCTGGGATCTGAACCCAGACAGCCTGGCTCCAGAATTCATGCTCTACCATCTGCCTCTGATTGCTTTCGTAATTTGCTCTCTGCCTTCTACAAAAGTTTACAACCCTCTTGAATCCAATAAAAATGCGTCTGTCAGTTTCTACATCTACACAATGCAGAGCCTTGTGCATCTTCCACGTGACCTAACATCTCTGAGACTCAGTTTCCAAATCTTTGAGAACGAAGATACTGAAATCACCTGCCGTGAGGATAAATGAAATTACATGAGTTGCCTGGTGCTATCTGTGACACATCATAGGGATGTGGTGAAGTAAATTTTTTCTTTAACACAAATGCTGCACTATAAAGATCCCCCCAGAACAGAGACTTTGTTTTCTCTAACCGAATCAATCATTTATATATTCAATCTTAATCCATTCAAAAAGCAGTTATTGAAAATCAGTATATACTAGGCTCTCTGCTGGTCGTCAGGGATATAGAAACGGCACAGGCCCCATTCTCAAGGAGCTCACAGTCACTTCCAAGAGTCACACAAACAATTGCCACACAATCTGATATGCTGCTCAGATGAGGACTGGATGGAGGGAGGTCATGGAAGGCTTCCTGAAAGAATGGGCTCTGTCACAGCAAGGGCTACTGAAACAGTTGCGCTGTTAAGGGTGCCAAGAATGAATGGATAAGTAAATGGGTGAATGAATTCAATTCAGTTCAAAAAATATTTCTTAGAAGATCCTACTGTCCAAGGCCTTGTGCTCTGAACTGGGAGTGTGCAGATGAGCAAGGGGCGGCTCAGGCCTTTAAGGAGCTTCTAGCTTTACTGCAGATCCAAGTATCCATAAACAGGTGTTTCAGTACAATGCAGAGACTCCACGGGTCAGGTGAGCTCCTGCCACTGTAGGAGGTGGCGGGAGGCTCCAGGCTGCATTCGTGGATGAAGGGGGTCTCTAGGTTCTATTAGTGCAGGTTTCCTAAAATGAACTCACTGAAGCCTGAACATAACCAGCAGATGAATAGGGGTCACCCACAGCTTCTAATCAGAGGAATGAAAATGAAAAGTGTTAGTCACCGGGTCGTGTCTGACTCTTTGCGATCCCATGGACTGTGTGGCCCGCCAGACTCCTCTGTCCATGGAATTCTCCAGGCAAGGATATTGGGAGTAGGTAGCCATTCCCTTCTCCAGGGGATCTTCTCGACCCAGAGATCCAACCTGGGTCTCTCCCACTGCAGGTGGATTCTTTACCACCTGAACCACCAGGGAAGCTCCATAAGACGAACAAAAGGATCAAATCCGTATTTGTTGGTAAGTTAGAGGATGCAAACGGTAAGGCAAAACTAAAGGACACCAGCAAAGAGGCTGAATTATGAATAGGAAGGTTGATCAGGAGACAGAATTTAGCAATGCCTGCGATTACTTAGGGAGAATATGTAAAGAGGTAAAGATGAGCCAACACTCCAAGCAGCTGGACGAGAGGAAGCAACTGGCAACGGCCCTCTTAACAGAAGAGTTAGGGGAGATTTAGCACAGACTGGTGTCCTGGGAGCCCAATGAATAGAGAAGGCGGCGACAAGGAGGATCAAGACCGAGAAAGCGGCTGCGTCCAATGCCGTACAGAGGTCACAGGCGTCCCCCAGGTTTGGCAACAAGTGACCTTTGTCGGGGCAATTTCTGTGGTAAGAGGTGAGGGCGGGAGCTCCACGGCAATAAATGAGGGAACGCGGGAGGAGAAAAAAGCCAAGGTGAAGCGACGAAAGAAGACACCCTAGCGCGGTGCCCTCACTCGCCCTGGGGAATTTCCAAGGCTAGAGTCGGGAGCTGGTGTGGCGAAAGGAACCTTCCCAGACAGGGCTCTGGATGCCGCCTAGGAAACCTGTCTGCCTCGCAACCCTTAGGTAGGCGCAGCTCCAAGGTCAGGGTCACCTCAGGCCTCCGCCACCCGTCACCTTGACGACCAATTGAAAAAAAAAAAAAGCCATAAAAAAACCCGGAGAGAACGGAAGTAGTCAGATCATCTCGCGATATCTGGTGCGCCGGCGCCGTCGGCCTTCCGGGCCTGGGACATGCGGCCGGCTATCGCGAGACTTGCCTGGGGGGTGGTGGGGGAGGGGCTCTGAGCGCGGGGCCCGACGGTCCGGAAAGCTGGAGCGGCTGCTGCTGGCGGGGGAACATGTCGGAGTCAGAGCTCGGCCGGAAGTGGGACCGGTGTTTGGCGGACGCCGTCGTGAAGATAGGTGAGGGGCTCCTCGTCGTGTCCGGCGGGCGCCGCCGGGAGCCGAGTCGCCGGCACGGGGGCCCGCTGACTGGGAGGGTGGAGAAGAAGCCCCGTGAGAGGTCTACTCAGGGGGTGAGAGGTCAGGCCGTCCGGCCTGTTCCAGCCACTCAGGCCGGGGCTCGGGGCCCCCGGGGGCCCAGATCACTTGGGCGCGCTGGGGAACACGGGCCGCAGGAGCCTGGGGGGCTGCCCGAAGTGGGAGGGCTGCAGCTGCGGCAGCCCGGGAGAAGTGGGGGGTCGCGTCGGCAGGCGACCGGAGAGCTGCGGGGCTCTGCGAGTGGAGGCGGCGTGCACAGGGGCCAGGGGCTGGGGGTTCTCTCTGGGGTCACGGCTCTCTGAGGCCACGTTGCTCCCCTGCTGAATCAAAAGTGCCTGCCGAGAAGGTCATCTGCAAGCCTTTTATAGATTCTGCCAGGCCTCACGTGGGTCGCTGCCATTCCCGACTTGGAACCCAATTTATCAGCCTTGGAGTAGTTTGAGGCCCGAAAGCGGGGACATTAGTGCTGTTCATCTGGAAGGAGAATCGACTTGGAAAGTTAAGAAGCTGATTGGTCCCTTTTGAGCCCGTCGTGTCACTCGTGTAGCCTTTTAACATGCGCTCCGTGACGACACAGACTGAAGTCAGTGCTCGGAGGGGGAGTTCAGTTCAGGCGTCATTCGTGTCCGACTCTTTGCAACCCCGTGGACTGCAGCACGTCAGGCCTCCCTGTCCTTCACCAACTCCTGGAGTTTACTCAAACTCCTGTTCATCCAGTCAGTGATGCCATCCAACCATCTCATCCTCTATCGTCTCCTTCTCCTCCTGCCTTCAGTCTTTCCCAGCATCAGGGTCTTTTCCAATGAGTTGGTTCTTCGCATCAGGTGGCCAGAGTATTGCAGCTTCAGCTTCAGTGTCAGTCCTTCCAATAGTATTTAGGACCGATTTCCTTTAGGATGGACTGGTTGGGCCTTGGAACCTGATTTATCAGCCTTGGAGTAGTTTGAGGCCTGTAAGCGGAGACTTTAGTGCTGGTCATCTGGAAGGAGAATTGACTTGGAAAGTTAAGAGGCCGATCGGTCTCTCTTCAGCCCGTCGTGTCCCCCGGTGTAGCCTTTTAACATGTGCTCCGTGACGACACAGACTGTGAAGTCAGTGCTCCGAGGGGAGAGGGAAACCGTTTTGCTAAGTGCCAGACTCTGTGCTCAGTGTGCAGGTTAGGTGAACGAGTGTGATCAGGGCCTGGTGGTGGTTTAGTTGCTCAGTCGTGTCTGACTCTTTGTGACCCCGTGGACTGTAGCCTGCCAGGCTCCTCTGTCCATGGGATTTCCCCAGGCACGAACACTGGAGTGGGTTGCCATGCCCTCCTCCAGGGGATTTTCCTGACCCAGAGATCAAACCCGGGTCTTCTGCATTACAGGCAGATTCTTTACCGACCAAGCTGTGAGGGAAGCCCATTGATCAGGGCTTAATCAATGGCAAAGTTGGGAATTTAACCCAGGTATTTTGGCTTCATGTCCCATGCTTTTCTTCAATACTCTTATTACCTGAATTTGGTATTTTAGTGTGAAAGTCTTGAAGAGTATTTAAGAGGATTTAGGATTGTGCTCTTGAATGAAAATATTGGAAAAGAAATAAAACTGTAATCAGGGATGTTTTCTGGTTTATTCACTGTTGTAGCTTCAGCCCACAGAGAGTGCTTAATAAAAACTGTTGAGAATGAGTCAGTAAGTGACTTTATCGCAGCTTTCAGTTCACCACTTAGCAGCTGTGTGATTTGGGGCAAGTTATTTAACCTCTCTGTGCCTGCTTCCTAATTTTTATTGAGTAAATTGGCCATAATATTGCTATCTTACAGAGATGTTTTGAGGATTAAATGCGTGAGTTTATGTAGAGGCTTAACTGTGAAATGGGGATTAAGAGACAGATTTACCTAAAAGGATGCTGAATGTTGAAGGACAGAAAAGTATACAAGATATTTGTGCAATGCCCAGCACTTACTAGGTAGTCCGTAAATAGCGATAGTAGTAATTGTTGGTGTTAATATCATGCCACTGATGATCAGGCTTCTCAGGTGGCTCAGTGGTAAAGAATTTGCCTGCCGACTTAGGAGACACAGGAGACATGGGTTCGATCACTGGGTCGGGAAGATCCCCTGGAGTAGGAAATGGCAGCCCACTCCAGCATTCTTGCCTGGAGAATCCCATGGACAGAGGAGCCTGGCGGGCTGCCGCCCCTGGGATCGCAGCGTCGACCTGACTGAGCGACGGAGCGCGTGCATGCTGTGTGGTCAGCTGAGGCGGTGAGTAGTGTGTGTCCTTCGCGAGTGGGACGTTGCAGCGGGCACACACAGGCGGAGTGATTAAATGGAGCACGAAGTGACGCTCAGCTGTGTCTGAGTCTTTGTGACCCCATGCACTATACAGTTCGTGGGATTCTCCAGGCCAGAATACTGGAGTGGGTGGCCTTTCCCTTCTCAAGGGGATCTTCCCAACCCAGGGATCGAACCCATGTCTCCCGCGTAGCAGGGGGATTCTTTACCAGTTGAGCCACAAGGGAAGCCCAAATGAAGCATGGTGATATGTAATTACAGATGAAAATTAAAATGAGTTATTCCAGTTCTTTGCTATAGAGCTATTATTATAAATCAAGGAAGTGCAGTGGTAGGTTGGGAGAAATGAGCCTTTAGCAGAGCTTTGGATAATGACCTGGATTGTTAGGGAGGGTGGAAGAACTTGAGCAAAGGCTGTTTAAACCTTTATGGAGGAGGAAACTGAGGCGCGGAGAGGTTAAGTGGCTAGAAGTAAGGAGCTGGGGTTAGCGCCCAGGCGTTCCGATTTCAGCACCCACTCCTCCCTAAAGAAGGCTGACTTGAGTGGAGTCAGAATTGTGAAATATCTTAGAGAGAGATTCTGCTTTTTCTTGAAGCTTTTTGAGTTGGCGTTTTCACATGCATTCTGCATATTCACCATCTCTGTCTTAAAAATTTGTTACTTTTTGCTCCCAGGGCTCAGTAAGTGGAGGCTGGTGGGGGATCATGAGCTGGTTAACACATACATACTGAGCTGTGGGCCAGCCAGTGGGCAAATAGAAAAGCAGAAGGCATTTCACTGCCCTTAACAGGGAACTGATGTGATGTAAATGGAATTTTGGTATGATTGTTCTGGCAGTGTTTTATACAGAACAAATCAGGAGTAGAGAAGGCTGCGAATGTGAAGTGAAAAGTCTGAACTCTTAGACTAGAAAGGAGTGGGTATATTTGAGAAACTTCACAAACTTTCCCCCCCATTTATGGAATGGAGATAGTAACACCCACTTCCTAGGCCAGCACAGTGCCAGGCACATACCAGGAAGTGAATAAATGCTGTTTTCTTTATCTTCTCTCCAACTAGGTTAACTTTGTCACAGTCCGTTTCTTATAAAGATGACTCCAAGGTTAGAACTTGGTTCAGCGGTGATGTCATTGATCAGAAATTGGAAGTAAAGCAGGAGGGGAGCATGTGCACCTCATTCCACTCAGTTACATCTGGGACTTAGTAACTGATCGTGTGAGTTGGCAGGAGAGAGACTATAGGGAGAAGAAAAGCTCATAATTTTGGTGTTTTTTCTGCTTTCATGGTTGGATTTGTTTGAGAATGGTAATGAGGTTGAGAAGAGGTTTTTTTTGTTTTTTTTTAAGATTTTACTTATGTATTTTTGGCTGCGTGGGGTCTTTACTGCCATGCGGGCTGCTCTCTAGTTGCGGTGTGCGGGTCTCCTCCTGCAGTGGTTTTTCCTGCGGAGCTGGGCTCTAGGGCATGCGGGCGTCAGTTGTTTCGCACGTGGGCTCCGGCTCTAAAGCTCAGGCGCAATATTTACGGCGCACGCGCTGAGTTGCTCTGCGGCAGGTGGGGTCGTCCTGGATCAGGGATCGAACCCATGTCTCCTGCACTGGCCGGCGGACTCTACCACTGAGCCCCCAGGGAAGCCCCACGAAGAGGTTTTTAATTTTGAGGGAGAAGTTGAGTTCAGATTTTGAGGAGATAGCCCTTAAGTAATGGACTTCAAGGAAGGATATGTGAGAAATGCAGTGTGGTAGTGTAATTCTGGGAGGCTTCCGTCTAAGAGGATTGAGACTGTGGTATGAACGCTCTTCCCTCGTGAGTGTTTTAGTTCTTATTCCTATAGGCAATGAGATTATAGAACTCTTGAAACCTCTCTGGCTGCCTGCTTTTCTGGTGCTTCAAAATGGAGCTGGAAACTCGGGGAATGGCAGCCTGCCATAAGATAGAGGTTTGGTCGAAGACGTAGGTAGAGAAGAAGGGCCAAGGTAGGCTTTCAGCTGCGTGTGGATAATTTCATATTTTCTGGCTTGAAAGAGACAAAAGGGAAGTCCAGGTAAGTGGACAGCTCCCTTGGTGAGCACTGGTGTTTGGCACCTTCTACCTAAGTATTTTCAGTCTTTCCCCGCTGGTTTGCTGAAAAATGAATGTTTTATTATTATTTTTAAAAATGGAGGGTTTTTTTTTTTTTTGCCATGAACTGTTGTTGGTTTTATCTGTTTTTTATTGGAGTATAATTACTTGACAATGCTGTATTCCTTTCTTCTCTACAGTGAAGCGATGCAGCTATATGTGTACTTACATCCCCTCCCTCCCCGGGCCCCACCCGCTGGGTCACCGCGGAGCCCCCAGCGAGCTCCATGTCCTGTGCCGCGGGTTCCCACTGGCTGTTCTACACAGGGTAGAGTGAAGAAGGACCCTCTCCCTTGCTCACATGTAGCCTAGATACTGTACAGCTGAGATAAAGAGCCCTCGGAAGCGTGTACTTTAGGCACAGGTTTTAAAAAAACTGTTCTTCAAGGATTTACTCTGGAGCTTGAGTAATGTTCTCATATAAGTTGTCCTATAGGAAGAGCTACATTTATTTATAAATACCCCCTCCCTTACCTATCATAGGGAAAGCAGTTTTATTTCTCCCATATTCTGGATTTAAAATACCTA